TCATAACAAATTAAGACATAAATAAAGGAAAAGGAAAGATGCTGCTGCGCAGCGTCGTTTAGAATAATTTATTATTTTTAAGGAATTAAAAAAAATTTTTTTTTAGATGTACAAAAGAAAGTTTGGAAGCAGCAAAAAAAAAAAAGAATTTTATATTTTTATATAAAGAAATTATAATTTCCTTAAATGAGAATTTACATAATCTACAACTTATTGCGCACCTAAATTGTGCAATCTTCACATTAAAATTTTGACACCTTAATTAATACCAAGTGATTTTAAACAATTTATCACAAATTATATTATTCAGTAAACAAGAAGAAAATTCAGGTTTTTCTTCGTTAAACGTTACCATTCGTCGGGCAAAGTCGGGAAATGATTGGACATAAAAGTAAATATGTATTATATACAAATGTATATATATATATTGGATTGATTGATTTTAAGGATTGATGAAGTTGCTTTTTAGTCGGGCGGTGACATTGTTTGGAAATTTGCTGCGTTTATTATCAAAGCAAATTGTGACGTGATACTCGCACTTGACTAGTCCCATAAAATTTTTTGTTTATTTTAGGGTAAAATCATTAACGAAGAATTTATATGATTTATTCCATTTTTGGAATCTGCCTGGACCGGGTGCTTATATAATTTCCTTTAATTCTCTCACTCGCCAGTCGAATTATATACATATAATAAATACGCAAATACAACATACATATACGTAAATATTTAAAAAAACAGAAAAAATGTGGGAAATAAGGTGAAAATTATAATGAATATGTTGATGATATTGACAATTTGAACCTCGAAGAATAACTTTAAATAAACAGGCTTTCCCAAAAAGACTTTTAAACTATGATTAAAAAAAATCAAAACTTGGCTCCCCTATTGCCAGAAGCAATTCGGTTAATAATTTGATAGATTTGATGTGCAACTGTTAAAAACCTTTAATGAAAATTTTCAAGCTTAGATAATTGATGAAGGTAATATAAAATAAATAAATCACACATAATAAATACATAATACATATAAAAAATTAAATTATTTAGGAATTGAAAGAGAAATGTTTTTCAGAAATTTTTATTTCTTCCTTAGCTGTTCATGGTATCACATATTCAACGCAACAATTTAAGAATTTTGTTTTCTTTATTTCGTGTGTATGTGGAAGTGGAGTTTTGTAAGAGTGCATGTTGCACATTTGCCTTTATAGAACTTGTCGCTCAAAATCAAGTTGTAAAAATATAAGTGCATGTGCAAATAAATTTTCTGAAAGAAAAAAAAATCATTGTTGTAAAATTCTCAAAATTCTTACATTTCATCCCTCCAAGTTTCATTCTTTCAATTACCACATTACTATTAATCTTCATTTTTTACTTAATATATATTGTTTCATATATTAGTGAAGAAGGGTCCATTTATCGAGGAAGAAGCAGCGAAGACATATCAGTTATATGATTGTTTTGGTCCACAATGGGCTAAAATTGCAGAATTTCTTCCCGGCAGGACTGGTAACATGGTTAAGAATTTTTATCATAACAATCAACGTCAAAACAGAAGAATAATAACAGAATCATCATCACCCTTGCCGTCAAAAATTATTATTAGTAACCAACATAATCATAAATATAACCATATTGTTAATAAAGATTATAGTAACATTGACAAAATGAATGAAATCGAAGTCCGGAATAAAAAAGACGATGACGATGACAATGACGATGACAATGACGAAAACGAAAATAGTAAATGAATTATCTCTATAAAGATGTTTTTTCTTTCTAAAAATAAAAATAAAAAATGCTCACTCACTTTCTTTACTAATTATAATAACTTCTACCGTAACTTCATCTTCTTCATTGAAATTATTAGGGTATTTTTTTCTCTTTCTTTCTCTAATTATTTCACAAAAGATGATATTGACTTTGTTTTCTTCTAAATTTATGTTCTTTAAAAAAAGATTTAATAACAATAATGAAGATCTTGAAGAAGAAGATGGAGATTATTATCAAATTAATAATAATAGTAGTA